TATCAGTGGTGATATCCCCTTTATCATTTTTTATTGCATCTGTTTGATTTTTCTCTCTTCTTTTTGAGCCTGGCTAGTGGTCTATTTATTTTGTTGATCTTTGCAAAAAACTATCTCCTGGATTTATTGATTTTTTGAAGGGTGTTTTTGTCTCTATCTCCTTCAGTTCTGCTTTGATCTTAGTTATTTCTTGCCTTCTGCTAGCTTTTCAATTTGTTTACACAGGTAATGTTGAAGCAAATGTTACCTGAGCCTCAGCAATGGCTGGCGCTCCTCCTCTCACCACACTCCAATGTCCCAGGCTGAGCTCAGACTGCTATGCTGGCCGTGACAGTTTCAAGCTACTGGATCTTAGCTCGCAGGTGTTCATGGGGATGGGACCCGCTGAGCCGGCTCACTTGGCCCCCAGCTTCACCCCCTTTTTCAGGGAAATGAGCGATTCTGTCTCGCTGGCATTCTAGGCGCCACAAGACTAAAACAGCCACCCGGTTTTGTGCTGGAAACCTGGGGCACTGATGCTGTAGGCTCCAGAGGGAATCACCTGGTCTGCAGGTTGTGTAGACCATGGGAAAGCGCAGTATCTTAGCTGGAATGCTAGAGTGTCTGGAAAAGTCCCTAATGGCTTCCCTTGACTGGGAGAGAGCGTTCTCTGGCCCCTCGTGCCTCCTGGGTGAGGCAATGTCCCACCCTGCCTTGGCTTGCCCACCTGGGCTGTTCCCACTGTTTAACCAGTCCCGGTCCGATGGACCTGGTACCTCAGCTGGAAGTACGGAGATCACTTGTCTTCTGGCGCTCTTGCTGGGAACTGTGGACCGGAGCTGTTCCTATTCAGCCATCTTCCAAAAGTCCTCCTAAATGAATACTTCCTGAAGATTTATGCATTATGATATTTTTATTATATATTTAGACAAAAACCTTCAGTCATTACATCAGGCCTATGAGAAGTGTCATTGTAATTCTTCCACTTTATTTTAAAGTTGAAGAAACCGAATCACAGTGGTTATTTTGTTAAGAAATGTGTCATTTGTATTCAGGTCTTACTGACTCCAAAGCTCAGATTCTTTGCCAGCACTTTATACTGCCACTGCATTTATTCAAGTGCCCTCTTACCACTCAACAAAAATCTGCAGTTCTCTGTCCAAAGCCTACATTTCTTTTTTAAGTTTTTTGCTTTCTTTGTAGAGACAGGGCCTTGCTATGTTGCCCGGGATGGTGGCAAACAGTCCTGCTTTGTCCTCCCAAAGTGCTTGCATTAAGGTGTGAGCCACCATGCCTGACCCACTTTTTAAATACGGTTTGTATTTTTGTTGCTGTTTATTAATGAGATTTCAAAAGTTACACTGTAATTGTCTTTGTGGTTATCTAGTTACTTTACTAGGTATCCCCAAAGGAAAAAGCACCAATTGTACTTTTACCGTGTTTCTGGACTTGAATTTATAAGTGCTGCATCTAAGTGTTTAAGAAAATGTTTGTTTTAATATAAAATTTAATAAAATGCATTTAAATATAAGTGAACATCTTTAAAGCATAGCTAAATCACTTGTAAGATTATATCTTCTTTAAATTTATACACTTTTTCATTTTCTTGGTTTATCATTGTTTATACCAAAGTCTTATGTTTTGCTTCTTGTCAGGGAGATTTAAATAGGTTTTCTTCTTTGCCGTGAATACTTTGAAAATTCTTCATGGATTAGAATAAGAAATGTATTATCCTTTCCTGCAGAAGGTTTGCTCAGTTGTGTCAAAAAAAAAAAAAAAAAGAAAAAGAAATGCATTTTCCTTTCGGTTGCTTTTAAGTGAGTAACAGTAGACTTTTTAGAAAGTTTCTTCTGAATTCACTGCCATGTGTATTTATTAACATTTGCTCTAAGCTCAGAATTAAACATTTAAATAAAAGAAAAAGACGGACAACAGTAAGCGTTGGTGAGTCTGTGAAACAATTGCAGCTTTCATATGTTGGTGGAGAGTAGATTGGTACAGCCACTTGTGAGAGCCGTTTGGCCGTCTCTAATCTAGATAGATGCCCGCCTCTTCATGTAGCGATCCTCCTGGCAGGCGTATACCTGGCAGGTGTATACCCAGGAGAAGTGAATGCACGTGTTCACAAAAAGACATGTGGAAGAATGTCCATGGCAGCTTTGCTCATAATAGACCCAAACTCTAAGTAACCCAAATGTCCAGGAGTAGAATGGATATGTAAATGTTTCTGTATTCATGCAATGGAATATTATACAACGATAAAATACCAACTACTACCATAGGTGACATGCAGCTTTCACTCCACTATATGGAAGCTGACAATGGTAATTTCCCTCTTTTCATTTCTTTTCTTGTATATCTTTGCTGTCTTCCCCTTTTTCTTGATTTTAGGAAGTTATCTAGCTTGTTGGCATTTTTTTTTTTTTTCTTTTGAGACAGAGTCTTACTCTGTTGCCCAGGCTGAAGTGCAGTGACGTGATCTTGGCTCACTGCAACCTCCACCTCCCAGCTTCAGGCAATTCTCTTGCCTCAGCCTCCTGAGTAGCTGGGACTATAGGCACACGCCACCATGCCTGGCTAATTTTTTGTATTTTTGTTTTGTTTTGTTTTGTTTTGTTTTGTTTTAATAGAGATGGAGTTTCACTGTGTTGCCCAGGCTGGCCATGAACTCCCGAGCTCAGGCAGCCTGCCCACCTCGGCCTCCCAAGGTGTTGGGATTATAAGTGTGAGCCACCGCACCCGGCCTGTTGACATTTTTCAGAGCCAGGATTTTGATTTATCACTTTCCTTAAAAATTGTTTTCCCACCTCATTGATGACTGCTTACATGTTTCTTGCTTCATTTTGGCATACTTTGTTTTTCATGTTTCAGCTTTTTATGTTGGAGATTCAGGTATTTTTATTATTTTATTTCCAAATATAATTATGGGTTATATATTTTTTTATTTGTACTTTTATCATATCCCATATATAGCTGATAGGATTTGGCTCTGTGTCCCCACCCAAATCTCATCTTGAATTGTAATCCCCAGGTGTGGAGGGAGGGATCCGGTGGGAGGTGGTTGGATCTTGGGGTGGCTTCCCTCCTGCTCTCTTGTGATAGTGAGTGAGTTCTCATGAGAGCTGATGGTTTTAAAGTGCAGCTCTTCCTGCTCTCTGGTTTTCTTTCCTGTCACCATGTAAGACATGCTTTGCTTCTCCTTCACCTTCTATCATGATTGTAAGTTTCCTGAGGCCTCCCCAGCTGTGTGCAACTGTGAGTTAATTAAAACTCTTTCCTTTTTGCATTACCCAGTCTCAGGTGATATCTTAATAGCCGTGTGAGAACAGCCTACTACAATAGTGTTTTTACTGCTATCTTTTTATTTTATTTACTTATTATTTTTTAAAATTAAAAAAAGCATTCTAAATTCTTGTGGGTGCATAGAGCTAAAACTTAAAACGGTTGAACTCATGGAAATAAAGAATAGAATGATGGTTACCAGAGGCTGGGAAGGGTAGTGGAGGGGAGAAAAGAGGGGGTTAATGGTTACAAAAATGTAGTTAGAATGAGTAAGATCCAGTATTTTTAAGTTCTGCAATTTTGGTTTTTATTTTCTCTTAAGGTTTGTTTAATACAGAGTTAAAAATATTTTGCAGGTAGAAGGGCCTTTTGGATTATTGATGTTTTAATTAATTTCTGATTTTATTTGTTTGTTTTTTTCCCTGAGACAGGCAGGTTCTCACTCTGTTGTCCAGGCTGGAGAGCAGTGATGTGATTATAGCTCACTGTAGCACTGACCCCCTGGGCTCACTTGATCCTCCCACCTCAGCCATTTAATAGCTGGGACTATAGGCATATGCCATCATGTCTGGCTAATTATTATTATTATTTGTTTTAAGTAGAGAAGACGTCTTGCTGTGTTGCCCAGGCAGTTCTGGAACTCCTGAGCTCAAGCAGTTCTCCTGCTTGAATCTCCCAAAGTGCGGGGATTATACGTGTGAGCCACTGTGCCAGCCTGATTTCTAGTTTTAATGCATTGTGATCATAAAAATTATTTTTACTTTGTGTAATATGTTAATATTTTTTCATGATCTGTTATATGATCAATTTAAAGGAACATTTTATGGCTAGAAAAAGGTATATGTTTCATTATTGGAATGTAAAATTTCATATCTACCCGTAATATCTTATATATTGTTTATGTTATTTACATCTTTTATATCCTCATTTTTCTTCTTTTAAAAGTCTCGGACTGACAGTGGTATGATAAAATATTTGATTGCTTCTTGTATCCTATGTAATTTTTACTTTAGAAAGGTGGCTGCTATACTGTTTAAGGCATAACATTCATTGCTACAATCATTGTGTTATACATTGTTGTGAATGGCATAAAATATGTACATGTTTGTTTGTGTAATTAATATATGTATGTACACATATACATGTATACACACAATATGTACATACATGTACACATGTACTATAATATACATATCTTATGTAATTGTAACAGTATATTATACATTTATATTATATATACATACAATATTTTTTAATGTTAGAATATATATACAATGAAGTTTACTTCTAATAACATTTACTTTTGTGGAGACTCAGTTCTATGAGGTTTAATATATGCATAGGCTCTTGTTACCACCACCAGAAAGATACAGAACAATTCCAGTATCCCAAAGAATGACCTTGAGCTGCTTTTCTTCTTAGGCAAGCCACCCTCATCCCACTTGCTGGCAATCATTGATGTCGTCTCTGCCCCTGTAGCTTGATCTTTTCCAGAATGTCGTATGAATGGGATCATGCTGCATATGATCTTTGCAGCTGGCTTCCTCACTTAATACGGTGCGGCTGAGATTCCTCCATGTCGCTGCGTGTAGCAGTACTTCATTACTGCTGAGTACCTTTCCATTATGTGGATGTTCCATGGTTTATTCATGTATACATTGAAGAACATGTTTTCGGCTTTTGACTACTGGTTAAATATCCCTTCTCCAAAATGCTTGAGACCAGAAGTGTTTCAGGTTTCAGTGTTTTTAGACCTTGTAATATTTGTGTATACATAATGAGATACCTTGGGGGGTGGGACCCAAGTCTAAACACAAAATTTATTTATGTTTCATATACACCTTGTCTAAAATAAGACCAAGGTAATTTCATACAATATTTTAAATAATTTCAGTGCCTGAAACGAAGTTTGTGTTAAGTACTTATGTGTGGAATTTTCCACTTGCATCCTGTCAGTGCTCAAAGTGTTTTGGATTTGGGAGCATTACAGATTTCGGATTTTTGGATTTGGGATACTTAATCTGTATTGCAAATACATGTTGCTATCAAATTTTGTGTACAAGGTTTTCTGTGAATTTAAGTTTCTATTTCATTACAATATTTAGAAGTAGGATGGTTGAGGCATATATGATAGGTATCTATTTAACATTTTAATGGAACTGCCAAACTGGCTTCCATGATTCCTGTACCATTTCTGCATTCCCTCTAGCAACATATGAAAGCCTTCAGCCGCTCTACATGTGCACCGTTTTTCATGGTAGTTATTCTGATAAGTCCATGGTTACGTCTCACTATGATTTTAACTTGTGCACTGTAATGATTGTGATATTGGGCATCCTTATGTATATATGTTTGACAGATACATATTTTCTTTGTATCTGTTTAATGTCTGTTTAAATATTTTGCTCATTCAATTTTTTTTTTCTTAATTTTGATTTTGAGAGTTTTTAGTATATTCTGGGTACAAATATTTTCTCTCAGTACCTGGCTTGTCTTTTCTTCCAGTGTGTCCTCCACAGAGGAGAAATTTTAATTTTGGTGGCGTTTACTTATATTCAGTTGTATGATACGTTTTTGGGTTAATATTTGCATGAGGAATGCGTGTAAGTTAGTATTTTTGCATGTGGATATTCAGTCGTTCCAGCATCATTTGGTGATGTGGTTATCCTTTTTCCAGTGTTACCTTTGTCATAAACCTTCATCATAAACGAATTGACGTATTTCTAAACTCTGTTTTGTTTCCTTGTTCTATGTGTTTATTATTTTGTCAATACTACATTGTTTTGATTACTATAGTTTTTTTTTTATGTCTTACAATTATTGTGTAATTCTTGCATATCCCCCAAAATAGGTTTTCATATTCTAGTTTTTTTTTTTAACCTTTCCATGCAAATTTTAAACTTAGTTTATATCTGTAAAATATCCTGTTGGGGTTTTGATTGAAGCTGCACTAAGTCTACAGGTCAATTTGGGGAGAATTGATGACTAACTTGAGTCTTACTGCGTGAACATGGAATGTCTCTTCATTATTTATATGCCTAAAGAGTTTTCTTTCATTACTATTTTTCAGTACTCATTACTCTGGAGTTTATAATGTACAGATTCTCTAGATGTTTTGTTAGAGTGAAAGCTATACTTCTTTGTTGTTGTTATGGCTGGAGCTATTGAAAAGTGATACTTTAAAAACGATTTATTTTCCAATTGTTCATTATTGGTATATTGAAATATAACAGATCTTGCCAAACTCACTTGTAAGCTGTAGAAGCTTTTTTGTAAATTCCTTGGGATTTTCTACGAAGATAATCATGTCGTCTGCAAATGTTTCTTTCATTCAAATCTAAATGTCTTTTATTTATTTTTCTTCTTACACTGGTACAGCTTTCAGTAAAATACTGACTCATGGATGATGAAAGTGGACGTCCTTGTTTTCTTCCCAGTTTCTGGGGAAACATCTTGTCTTTCATCACTGAGCATGATGCTCGCTGTAGGGTTTTTTTCTAGTTGCCATTTTTCAGACTGAGGAGGCCTCTTGTATTTCTAGGTTTCTGAGAGTTTTCTTTTCTTTTTTTTTTTTTATTATGAATGGATGTTGAATTTTGTCAAATGCTTTTTGGTTGGTAATTGATATTGTTATGTTATTATTCTTGTTTCATCGATTAATTATGATGAATTACACTGATTGTTTTTCAAATGTTGAATCAGCCTTTGATTCCTGGGATAAACCTCACTTGGTCATAATGTTTTATGCTTTTAATATATTGCCGGATCAACATGCTTATATTTCGTTGAGGAGTTTCTGCATCTGTGTTCCTAAGGAATATTGTCTATACCTCCTTGTCTCGTATAACGAAGGAACCTGGACCTTTTTGATGTCTGTAAATGCTTGTTTAATGATAGTTCCTTCAAATCGAGCTGTTCCAGTACAGTTTACCTCTCCCTCAATTTTGCTGTGTTTTTTGTTTTGGTTGAACGGTGTCTTAGTATGTTTGGGCTGCTATAACAAGGTACTGTAGACTGGGTAATTTATAAATAATGGAAATTTATTGCTCACTGTTCTGGAGGCGGGGAAGTCCAAGATCAAGGCAGTAGCAGATTTGGTGTCCAGTGTGGGCCCATTTGTCATAGATAGTACCTTCTCTGTGTCCTTACATGTTGGAAGGGGTAAATCACCTCACTCTCGGCCTCTTTTATAAGGCTACTAACCTCATTAATAAGGTGTAGTCCTTATGACCTAATTACCTCCCAAAGGCTCTACCTCTTAACAGTATTATATTTGGTATCGTGTTTAACGTCTGAATGGGGCAGGCGAAAACACTGAGGCCCTAGCAGGTAAAATCAGAGTTTTTATCAGCTGAAATGTTTTTGATTCTCATTTTTTGTTGTCTTTATATGAAATAGGTATTTGTGGATAGCTTTATATGAAACTTGCCCCCTATATTCTGTATTTTTTGAAATACCTTAAATTACCTTTGGTTAACGTGATATTCCATGTGGAAGATGTAAGGCTGGCTGCCTCGCAGAGGGTTAAACGGACACATCCATCTCTCTCCACGCCTGATAACTGCGTCATCACCCAAGCTCGTTATCTGGCCTTGCCGCACGGCTTACCCGTACCTGCCTCCACATACCAGACCCAAGCCCACATTCAGCACTAAATTATGCATCCAACCCTCAGCCTGCTGTTGAAAAACCCTGCAGAAAAATTTTTAAAGAAGCCCCATCAGACCCTGCCCGGTAGCAGTCTGCTCTGTATGCCCCTGGAAGGCCCACTTACCCAAGGCCTCACCCGCCTACCCATGACCACTAGCTCCAGGTATTTCCTGCTTCTTAATAGCCAATAAGATTGCCTTCACTTTGTTTCCCCAACAGTCAATCAAGGCCCACCTACCCAAGGTCCCGCCCACCTACCCATGACCACTAGCTCCAGGTATTTCCTGCTTCTTAATAGCCAATAAGATTGCCTTCACTTTGTCTCCCCAACAGCCAATCAAGGCCCACCTACCCAAGGTCCCGCCCCCCTATCCATGACCACTATCTCCAGGTATTTCCTGCTTCTTAATAGCCAATAAGATTGCCTTCACTTTGTTTCCCCAACAGCCAATCAAGGCCCACTTACCCAAAGTCCCGCCTGCCTACCAGTAGCAACTAGTTCCAGGTACATCCTGCTTCCTGACAGCCAATAAAATTGCCTTTTCTTTGTTTCCCCAATAGCCAATCAATTGCCTTCCCTCCCCATAAAACCGCATTACCTAAACAGCTGGGCACGACTTCTTTAGCCCCTACCTGGACTACAGAAGCTCGCCCAGGAGCTGAATAAATTAGCTTCTCATTTTCTTATACTTGCCTCAGTTTCCTCATTTTACCTTGGCAATAAATCTTACAGAAGAGATCAGCGGCTTCATTGTTTCTCAGCTCTTACTTTCTTAGTTCTTTAGTTTTTTTCTTAGTTATTGATATTTATGTATTAAGAAAATCACCCCTTTATTCATAAAATATGCTGCAAATATATTCCGTAGTTTATATGGTTTTTTTCTTTATAGTGTTTTATATCTATGTAGCATTTAACCTTTTTTTGTATTTACATTTCTCACGCTGATTTTGTTCTTTCTAATAAATTATTTATGAACATTTCCCCTGTCTGAGATTGAAATATGTATATACGTATGTGTATGTGTTTGCATCCCTATCTCCTATGGCCTCCTCTAGATCTTTGAATCATTTTGTGTTTATTTTTTAAATCTTAGATTTGTTTGGTGTTTATTTTGAAGTAGGACATGGGACAGGTTCCAACATGCATATGTGCTCAGTCTGTTAATTTAGTGTAGATTGGTATCTAGGACCTTTCTTTGTTTACATAACTTTGTGTTTCAAATTACCTTCAGGTGCTTCAAATAGTCTGCCAGTTGATTCCTCCTGAGTTCTCTAGGGCCTCTTGACTGGCTTCCGCACAGATAGGCTGTCTGGTGAAGTCTGTCACCTTGGAATCATCCTGGGATTCCCTTTGCTGCTTTCCCTTGTTCAGTATTCTCATCTTCCTTTTTTAATTTCCTCATGGTGAGGGTTGAGGGTGTTTGGTGGAGTTGATGGTTTGATGCATGATTTTGGAAAGGCAATGAAAAGCCAGGTCATGAAGGACCTTACACGCCATGATGAGTTTCAGCTTCTTTTTAATGGTTGTGTGACTATTGAGAATATTTTGTAGGTGAGTTATATTTGCTCTTATAGAATGTTTCCTTGAAACCAGCTATGAATTTCAAAATCAAGAAATTAGCATTGATTCAGTGTTGTTAGCTCATCCAGTTGTCCCAATAGTGTCCTTTATGGGAACAGAACTTCCTGATCTAGAATTCAGTCAGTTATCATGTCTTCTTAATCTCTTATAATCTGGAAGTTTCTCAGTCTATGAATGCTGGAAATATGAATGGCTTTGGAATTATGTGTATGTATGTTGGAGGTGGTGTTGATGAGGGAAACAAACGTGTGATTGTGGTCCTTAGGCCACAGAGGATAAATTAGAATCAGGAATGGACTCTGGGGAAATGGATTTTCTACGTCTATATGCAGGAAAGGTAGAAAACAAGTATTCTACTCAAGGATGACTCTGTATTGATTTGTTTTTTTAACCTGAGATGAATAATTTGGCTTTGACACTTTGGTCAGGAACTAGGTAAGACCGATGCTTAGATATGTTTGTTTCCTTAAGTAGCATCGAATTTACATGGCATATACATGACTGTGTAAATTCTTCCTACCTGGAAACGTAGCACCAAATAGAAAAGGATTGGAGTGTGGCAAAAAGGAAGAAAAAAAAATGAGCTTCTTAAACCTGCCTTGGACACACAGCGTTACTGTTAGGTGCTGGTCTCTGTTAAGCTCTCTTGGGAACTTATGTATTCCTGTTCTCTGTAGCCATCTTGCTGATATGATGATTCCGTATTTCT